CCTCTAGACTGGGAATGAGCCACACAGGCAGGAGCTGGGAGCCAATTTGGCCGGGCTGCCCCAATAACAGAGCAGTGCCATGGAGCTGAGGCTTACTTTCAGGCAAGAGAGGGAAGGAGAATCAGCTGGGCAGCTCCACACAGCCAATGCACCCCACTGCCCCCCCAAAGAAGATCTCTGACAGGCAGAGCCCAGACACCTCTGACAGCCACGCCAAACAAACTGCAGCTGCACCTCTGGCTCTCCATTTGGCAAGCGCAGCAACCACCGCTCTTGCCACGCACCTCTCTTGTTCTGGGATATCCACCATGATATATTGTGTTGTCCAAGCTTGGCTGACACAACAAGTGTTCATGATTGAAAACTCTAGAACAGGCTGTTGTGTCTTATTGTGGTGGACAACCATGTCAAGTCACAATGACTGATCATCACAGCTGGGTTATGACAAGCAGCTGTGGGGTTTTGCCACCGTTTGTTGGTCAAGTCATGTCAATTCATTGTGTTGGCTCAATCATAGGGTAATGAACCAGGAAATCAACTGCATAGGTATAATGGGTACTTTTAACTTTTATCCAACTTCCTGTTTACTGACTACATTCTTTTCTATGTGAGACATTTCTTGTGTTCCTGTCATTCTTTACAGTTTTTATGGGTTCTTTAGACAATCACATGAGTTTCCAGTTTTGCTTCTATGGTTTAAAATAACTTTCCTGAGGTTTTTAGAGCAGAGGAAATGGTTTATTATTTCTAAAAGCAAAAGAAAACTTGTGTAATTATATTACTTTGCCATAGCACAATACCTCCAACAAGTTATGTAGGCAAAAAGCAGACATGGAAAGTCTTTTTGTGTGTAGCTCAGATCTCAATTCTGCCATGAAATTGAAAATAAATACAACAGATTAACAGACTCATGTAGAAAAAAACTCCCAGGAAGCAGATTATGCAAGTGAGGGTTGAAGAAGGTTCATGGGAAGCAAGGCAGGGGCAGAGATTTTATTGCAAGTAGCTGGCTTTAGAAAGCTTGGAGACAAGAGGAGTTTAAAGGAAAAGAGATTTCTGAGATTGCAGCTGAACTCTGCACTTGCACATATTTACATTTGTAGTCCATTTCACATCGAATCTCCTTGCCATCACTTGCTTGCAGTGCTTGGGTTATAAATAGTCAGGGCCAGATCTCCCTTGACGCATGGAGAGATGCCTGCACTGGGTATGGAGTGGAAGGAAGGGGTAATTGTGCCACTTCTCCCCTTGCCCCCCACACTGTCATGGGGGCCTGCTGCTACTGTCCTGTCACCCCCGGGAGTGTTCTGGAGAGCTCTGCCAGCTGCTCTCCCATTGTGGCATTTGCTACAGCAAGAGAGTGACTGAGAAGGCCTGATTGGAGCAGCTACTTGCCCTCCGTTTCCCTTTGTGCTCACATCCCTGTACTGTTGCTGCAGCTGCATCCCCTCTGTGGAGAGCCATGTGGCTTGAAGAAGTGGCCACATGTTGCCCATCCCTGCACTATGGTTTGAATTCAGGGCTGTCAATCACAGGTCAGTTTGGAGAGCATTCGTTCATGGGGTCACCATAAGTCAGGGATGACTTGATAGCACGTAACACCACGTAGGAGGAAGCCCACTAGAGCAACAGGACATTCTCCCTTTTTCCTTGCGTCTGTGGTTTTCTTTCCCAGATCTCCAGAGCAGATTTCCTTCTCTCCCCCTCTCATCACTTTCTATTTCTTTCTATTATTCATGCACAACTAATACACTGCTTTTGCAGAGCTGTAACTTGTACCATCCTCTTTCCTACAGGACAGTTTCTCCTGCTATTCTGGAGGAATAAAATCTACACAATTGCACACACAGCCATGAAGTAGGTTGCTTTTTACCAAACCCCATGCCACCATAAAACAATTTGTCTTCGCCACATCATACATAGCATGGTAGAAAGCCAATGCTAGTCCCTTAGCATGGGCACAGCCCATATAACACACGCCATTGCCAATATGTCCGGGTAGAAATGTAATGAGTAAACAGGCCTGTTAGAGAGCTGTGCACTTTCTGGAGTGTACCACAATTTCCCTTTCTTCAAGGAATCAAGCTCCCCAGGACTAGCCATTAGCAGTAATGGTGTTAAATAAGTAACAGCCATTAACAGTCAATCACAGAGTTCAATGGCTGCATTTTATTCCAAGCAACTGCATGGAATAGCTAGCCCTTTCTTGCACTGAGAGGCCTTTAAGCTTCTCAGGAGCTGTAATTGAATTCATCAGCAACTTACCTGGAATCACTACTCATCTTGGCACACTTAGTGAAAGCAAGCCAAAGAGCTTGTTTCTAGGAGAGTATTTCATCATAGTGCTTTTTAAAAAATGGTGACCATTGGCAAGTTGGGTTTAATGCCAGGCTGTGAAGTCCCTAAACTGGGGTTCCGTCTCAGCTGTTGGTATGAACTCTGGCTTCGAATGAACACTTGCAGTTTCTTACTGAGACTCCAGCTATTTCACTAGCCTTGCCTGAGCAGAATAGGTACTGATAAAGTAATTTTTATAGAGATTTTAAGGGGACTTCTTCAGGGCAAAGTTGCCTATTTCTTGTGGCTTTGTTTACATGTTAAAGCCGCAAATCCATAGAACTAGTGTTTTAATGGGCAACAGCTTGAATTATCTGGATATGCCAATAGTTTATGCACTAGAACTTCCTCAACCCACTTTTCTCCAGGGGTGTTGACTACTATTTTCATCATCCTTGGCCAGAAACATTAGCCCACCTGGAGGGCATCAGGCTGGAGTAAGCTGTACTAGTACATACACCCCAGCCTATTGCATACTCCAAGATACAATCACACTCTGTATAAATAAATAAGGCCTCCCATAAGGTTAAAAATATTATTGTATAGTTGGGTAAAAATTACACAGAACCCATGGCTTATTACTGCTTGTGAGTTATGTGAATTGCCTCTGAACACAAATGTATTTATTTAATCCATGCCTTAGCCACCTTTCAAAGCCACTGTCTTCCAAAGATAGCTTCCAGCATAAAACAACAGAAATGTACAAATTCATGTTAAAATGTAAACAATTTAAAATACAACCATTATAATACACTGCAATATCAAAATATCAATTAGCAGCAAAATCCATTAAAATTGCAATTAAAAGCAAGGGAGAGCAGCTGGAATGGGACCAGAGAAGGATTTCTTAATAAATAATGTAACTGTTTAAACTTTATGGTGAAGAATTAATTTTTTTATGTGCTTGTATTTGCAAGGTATTAACCAAACGACTGTGATGGAAATGCAGCTTCTCCTGTGTCACTTTTTCTCTCAATAATGTGTAGTCAGTTTTACTGTGATGTGACAATCGTCACATCGTGTGTTTTCCAGCTCCTGCTCTAGATTGGCTGCAGCTTGCAGAAGGCTGGGAGATGCATAATAAGACTGAGTGTATCTTATATTCAGGTGGGCATGAAATTCAGACTTCTTTCGATAGCCTAATATGACCTCTACACACGTGGTGTAAAGATAAAAATAGGACAAGTAGTGCATATTGTGTATGGCAGAGCAATACATGGAGTGAATAATTGTAGAACATATTCCTCAGTCATACTAACAGGATTTTTAGGTTCCTCCAACAATGTCCACAGTTCACCATGTGGTTCGTAATGATAGTGTCTGAGAAGAGACAGGCAAAACAAAGGATTGCTATATCCTGGAAAGGGGTCTGCACACGTGTGTGCATGTAGTAAAAAAGGTAGAGAAACGTTGCATTTGAAGTTTAAAAGTGACAGCTTTATTTAATGGGGAATTAACGGTCACTGGAAGGATGGGGATCGTTTTCCTACCCGCTGCCTATTCTGAGCTCACATCAAGGAGCTTCACCTATTCCCCCAGCACTCCTTCACCTGCCCTGGTTGCAATGCAGAGCTATGACAGTGGTACATCAGCAGAATGCAGGAAGAGCATGAAAAGCTCGGGCCGGGGTGATGCTGCACAGGCAGGCTCGGGAGCGCAAAAGCGCTCTCCCGTCTTCCGCCCTCTTCTCGGCGCTCGTGGGGGCCATCGGTTTGCCACCCCCTGTTTAGAGCACGGTGGTTCAGTCCCCCCTGCAGTCGCGATTCGTTTTATCTGGTCAGTAGATGGCGCCCTGACGCTGGTCAGAGGGGTGGGCTTAGGGGCGGCGGGCCGAGCATGAGGTAATGGTGGTGAGAGGAGGGAGAGGGCGAGTGTGCGACGTTGCGTTCTTGGGGAGCTCGTGCTGCGGCTTCGGCTCCAAAACCTTGCCAAGATTGGGAAGTTGTCGTGGCGGCCACGGCCGTGGCAGCGGATTGCAGGAAGCAGGCGTGAAGTGCCCGGGCCGTGCAATGGGTGATCATTTCTCAGCTGTGGAAAGGGGTCATCGCGTTGGGTGGAGGTTTGCATTTCTCCAGCTGTGCCGAGAAAATCCCGCTCAGCCCGGTTCCTCGTAGAAAGGAGATGGACGGAAAAGCAACAGGGAGGTGGAGCTGGAGCGATTGCTGCATCTAGTGCACAGAGAGGAGGGGGAAGGACGGGGGCGAAAAACTAGAGCATGAAATTCCGAGAAGGGTTTGTTCAGAAGGATACCCCGTGCAACTGCAGAGAAAAAAATAGGAGGAGGACGAGGAGGAGGAGATGCAACTGGTGTAATTGAGTCACCCTCCTTTTGCAGTCGAGATACCGAGAAATTCCCCTCCGAGGCACTTTACAGAACGAATGACGGAACCTGCTTTTCCAGCTCGCTGAGTGGATGGGTCGTTTGTGATTTTTTAAATGCATGGATTTTTACAGGTAGCGAGGAAGAGTACTGAAGTAGGTGGGATGAACGCTTTGGAAGTCTTTTGCATTATCTGCATGGAATAGTAAGAGTTAAGACACTCTCTCTCTTTCTCTC